GCTTTGTTTATAATAAACAGTAATAAACAACATTTACCGGCCTGAATATCTGAGAAATTTTCACAGAAAATATTCGTCCTCCGACAGGATTCGAACCTGTATCTTATACGGAACCGTCATTTAGCTTGACGTGCCTTTACCGATTTGGCCACAGAGGCGCGTTCGGTTAGCAAGGTCGAATTTACTGTAAGATTGAAGTTTAAACGGAGCATTTACTTAAATATTTGTATCTATAAAAAGAATGTATAAACCTAAAAATGTATTAAAATAATTGTCTAATTTCATTATATATATATATATATATATATATATATATATATATGTGTGTGTGTGTGTGTGTGTGTTGTTTGTTTGTGTGTGTGTGTTATGAATAAGGTATATTTAGGCAGCAAGTATTCATCCAAACAAGTTTGATTAAAAAACCGATAAAGTCTGTTTCATTTTTCATTGTATTTTTTTCACAATTTCTGAAATAAGGTGTTGGGTTTTGTGCTTGAAGTTGTGGATAAACTGTCCGAAGTCTATACTGTATTATTGTTTATTTCAAGTATTTTCAACCACCTCAGTCATTTTCATGAACCCATGTGGTATCTGTCTGGCAGTCAGAATTCCTTTGTCTACAATCTGGTATTCTTTGGAAAGCTGGAAGTTTGAAATAGTCTACAGTGACGTCAGATGTAACGGTTATTGCGAAAGAACTTGCACAAAACAATAACACAAGAACTTCCACTATTTCGAGAACAATACAATAAAATAAGAAAAATAGACAGACCTTGCCTGATCTCTTTGATCAACTTGTTTTATATATATATATATATATATATATATATATATATATATATATATATATATAAAAGACAAAATAAAAAAAATATTGTTAGCCGACGTATTTCATCCTCTGAGCGAATTTAACAAGGTAAATGTAAGATTTATTTTGTTGTACGTGTTTATATACAAGAGCAGGGGCATTGGTTTATCAAGGCTCTAAATTTGAGAACGTTAATGAATATTCATCAGGTGGTTCAAAGGTCAGTCACAACATATGGAGGACACAAAGTGCCATAATTCAAAGTCTGCTAAAAAAGTAAGCGGTTAATATTCAAGAAATATTTATTTATTTTTATCTTGAATACTGAGTCGAATCACCCCCGTTTCCTCCGCATTTTAAATTTAAGGAGACAGTTTCACTCAAACTGCTTATTTTCAAGAACTGCTACTTACTGGATCAAACTCTCGCGTGGAAGGTATATATATATATATATATATATGAAGAAATATACTTTTAAGGTGTGCTATATTTATGGGATAAAGTGCTCAATATCAGAGATAGAGCGTGTAAATATAAATATAAAAGTGAACACTGAAGTCAACACTCAGAGGCGACAGGCTGTTTCCTGCTCGACGCAATCTAAATGTTGACTTCAATGTTCACTTTAATATATATATATATATATATATATATATATATATATATATATATATATATATATAACTATATATAAACTCAGTCTGCTCATATCTATTTCACTGTATGTATATGTCACAATCTGCTAATATCTCTCGATATTTTCTCTCTCAGTTTGCTTGTATCTATAAATATATCGTATATTCATCAATCAATCACACTCTGCTCATATCTATCAATCTATTACCTATTTCAGTCTACTAACACCTAATACAGTCTGCTCATATATATAATTACACATATACCTACGTTTACCGTACGCCTGCAAATATGCTAGGAACGCTACAGGGATCAACCAATGGGAGAATATATAAGATGCCATCAAATGTTTCTCTAAAATAAAAAATAAAAACGAACACATCTCCAATTTCTATCCGTTGTGAATTGGTTGGTATATTACTACTGTGGAGACTTGGATATACTTTTGTTAGTAACAACACTGGTTTGTACAGAGAGAACAGAGTTGTCCTTAAACATAATACCAACCCACAAAAACCAGATCACCTTAGAAAACAATTCTTCAAGGATAATGGACTAAATCTCACCACTAAAACCAATGCCAAAGTGATTATCTTTCTGGACGTCACTTTCGACCTATCCAATGCAATATACAAGCCTTTCACTAAAGAATTTTATAATCATAAATACATTAGAAAAGAATCTAATGAAACCCCATAAATTTTAAATAACTCTTGTAAGAAAGATATTTTTGATTTGGTTTGGTTTGTTTTACTGCATATCAATCTCAATGGTTTATTTAATGCCGACAACATTTTTATTGCTGGTTATATATACTATTTTTTTTCAAAAATGTATTGCTGGCAATATTTTTTTCCTTAAAAAAATCTATTTCTGGTAATATTTTTTCTTCAAAATTCTATTTCTGGTAATATTTAAAAAAGAAAATGTATAGCTGGTAATAATGTACTGCTGGTAATAATTTTTTTACAAAATATTTCTGATATTAAAACCTATTTTTACACTTTCATAGTGTTTTGACCCTAGTTTTGGGGTTAACTATTTACCCATAGCTGGAAGCCTAACAGGTGCTACCATCCCGGGTCAGGGTGGACCTGGGAACATCAGCAATTAAGAAATGGTTCCACGCTCTTCAAAATTTCCTGATCAGAGGCCTTGCTGTTGGACGTAGTTTATCGTCTTACCCAGCACGCGGATGTAGTTTATCGTCATTCTCAACAAGAACAGCAGTTAAATTAGCTACAGCTGTACAAAAAACCTTGAAATGAAGGTCGTCTTAAACGGGTTCTTCTTTCCCATTCAAACGAACACTGGTGTTTCCCAAGGCTCTATCCTGGGTCCTACACTGTTTCTGATCTTCATCAACGATCTTCCTGATGTGATCAGTTATCAAGTAGGCATCTATGCAGGCGACACTTCCATTCCTGTCTCAATAGTAAATCCGGCATTGTTGACAAAGTTAACCTGGCCGTCAGTTTCGAAAAGAAACCCCCAATCTGTGTTTGACTTAGGCAGGAAATGGCTTGTAAACTTTAATGACTCCAAAATGAAACTGCTTTCATTTGCCCACCATAGAGAAACCTCCTTGCCTACTCTCAGCATAGCTGATGCTCAAATTCACGGGAGCATCTCTCTGCGCCTTCTTGGTTTCACGTTTTCCACTGACCTGAGGAGAAAAAACTACATTGAATCAATTGATACATCTATTGCAAGGAAAGTGGTCCGAAGGCCTTTATCGTCTGAGTTCATCCTACAAATCTACCATTCGTCCTTGTATTGAATACTGTTGCCATCTATGGTATGGTTTCCCCGCTGTTCATCTCGAGGTTCTCAGCAAAATCCAAAGACAGATATACAATGGAATCGGTCCTGACCTGTCATCTTGATTCCAGTCACTTTCTCAGAGACGTGATGTGTCTTTTCTGTCTTTTCTACAAATGTTTTCCTGGCAACTGCTCTGACGAGTTATTTTCCTGGTACTCCAACTGCATGAATTTAAGCGTGCTACTAGATTGGAATCTTGGTCACACTCTTTTACTGTCAAAACAGTTAAATATAACCGCCTTTTCTACTTCAACAGCTTATCCTCTCGCACTTCCCGACAGTAGAACTCCTTTCCTCTTACTTGCTTCCCTGATAACTATAGTCTTCAAAAATTTAAATGGAATGTCAATAGACATCTTCTGTTGCCTTGATCTTGATCCCTCTTCCTTCTTTTTTTTCTGACTTTTTCTCAACTCTCTGTTTTCTCTTGCTGTGCTAGTGGCTCTCCCACCTTGCTTGGGGTGAAAAAAAATGCTTATAAATATATATATATATATATATATATATATATATATTATTTATTAAAAGAAGAGAAAATTTTTTAAACGTTTTTGGTTGCAATGTTAGATTTTAAAAAATAAGATTTCCAGATTATTTTGCCTGATAAAGGTTTAAGAAGACTGGAAACACGTGTAGCAAAATTATTCTTATGGAAATAATATATAATTTTTTTAAATCCACATTTGTGGAAAACGTTTTCTACTTCTATTCTATTATATACATAAATTTTTCTCGTTGGAACTATCTATTTAGCTATCCCCCACGAGGATTGAATGTGGAAAGGCCGAGTTTAATGGTTTTCTTCCAGAGCCCGTAGGCTTTAATTTTTAATATTTTATCGAACCCGCCTAATATATATACATTCAAGGATGTCAACCTCCCCTGAACGAAACCTTGTCCTTCGGATAAATGGTCTCCTTCCTCTCTTATTATGCAGAGTTCGACATGACTATAACTTTGTATACAGCTATTAAAAAAAAAAAAAAAAAAATTGGAACTACTATAAACCTTGTCTAAATATATATATATATATATATATATATATATATATATATATATATATATATATATATAATGGATTATATATATATATATATATATATATATTTGTTCGACTCTCTCGTCGAGATTCGACGTATGAGGGTCAAAAGATCAGTTTCAGGAAACCGACAGCCCGACACCGGCACATGAGATTTGATTATAGTGGTGAAAATTCGTTTAAACCATCCACACTTTTTTGAAGGGACGAATACAGAGACCTGGTGCACTTTTTGCCACAAGGTTCCTAAACGAACCTCCGCAGGTTTTGAATTCAGAGTTGTCCTTCTTTAAAAAAAAAAGGCTCTGTCCTGCTATTTATCCATATATTGAGGGAGAGAAGAGGATTCATACCTTTCCCAAGAGTATTAGCACGTAAATGAATGTAATGGATTCGACTGGAATTCGAACTCAAATATTTGCGATTCCTCAATCAGCTGCTATCCATTACTCCACCGTGCCTCCTCTATATGTAAATATATATATATATATAATCTCTGTATACTTATATCTATCTTGGTTTGCATATATCAATCTATTCATTTCAGTCTGCTCATATCTATCTATGTCTGTTCTAATATATCTGTAGCCATTTTTGTCATCATCTCTTAAAACGCTTTCATTCAGAAGCGGATTCATTCTTCTGTCTTATGTCTCACAAAACCGTTCGTGTTGTTCAATGATTTCAACGCCGATGTTAATGACCACAACAGACCCATATGAAAGTACGTGACAAGGAATAAGACGTAACACTCAGCACTGGCCTTTGAAACAATAACGACGATATAATTGTATATAAATTGATTCACAAATATTAAAATAGAAAATTTTCTCAACAACATTTTTTTTTTTTTATTATATATATTTAAGGCGTGTTTGTACACAAGGATGCAAGGGGTTACAGAAGATTTGGAGCGAGAGCAGAATTTTTCATTTAGTGATAGAAGAAAAGAATGAGGAGATTTAGTGGATAGATCAAGGCAACTGGAGATGTCGATTGACATTACATTTGAATAGTTGGAGATTATAGCTCTCAGGGAAACAGTAATTGGGAAGGGTGTTCCACAGGTGAGAGGTGCGAGGTATGAAGCTATTGGAGTAGAAGAGACGGCTACATTTAAAAGTTTCTACATTGTAACTTTTGGGAGCAATGTCAGCCTCGTAGGACGCTTGAATTCATGGAGTCTGGGAACCAGTGAAAGCAGCTCATCGGAACAGTTACCATGAAAGTATTTGTAGAAAAGACAGAGAGAGGCGACGGCGCGACTGTGATAGAGAGGCGACGGCGCGACTGTGATAGAGTGACTGTAGACGAGATGCCAGATCAGGGCCAATTATATTACATATCCCTCTCTGGATCTTGTCAAGAACTCCGAGGTAAACAGAAAGTGCCCCAGACCATATATGGCAGCAATACTCCATGCAAAAGCGAATGGTTGATTTGTATATTTTTGTATCGATTCCGGGAGAAAAATTTCCTGGCGCGGCACAGAGAGCCAACTTTCCTCGCAGTTGACGAAGCAATTGACACAATGTATTTGTTCCATCTCAGATCAGCAGTCAACGTGAGACCGAGCAGATGCAGGGAGTTGCTCTCAAAAGTTGACTATCAGACATTCTAATGGGGGGGGGCATCTGAAGATTCTCTATGGTGATTAATAGAGATAATTTAGTTTTTTTCTGCGTTAAATGTTCGCCATTTAAATTCTTCTTGCCCCAGTTAAAACCGATTGGAAGTCCATTTCAAGACGAGCGGCCAGGTTAGTTTTGTCACCGACACTAGATTTGTTTTTGAGGCAGGGGTAAACATTTCAAGTTATATGAATGTCGACGTCAAGGACCCACATACATTTATCTTCGGTTTTCCGGTATTCAGTAATTTATTTCTCTGAAAGATATTGGAATCATATAGACGGCTGGAACTTAGTAACCGTCTCAGATTTAAGGAAACAATTATCAGACAGTTGCAGGATCACGACTCTCCACAATGTCCTCTCCTTTGTTGCGCTTTTGATAATTTATTATACTTGTTTCTGTTCACACAAACCTATTAAGTAGGTTACTCATTCTTTCCTCCCACTTCTCTTAACTTCAATACGACCTGTGCGTATTAAATTCTCTATACCTTTTTTCTTCATTATGCATCTTGGAAAGTTCCAGTATCTCTTTCTGACTGTAGGTGTAAGTTTTACTGTTGTTCGTATTTTCCTTGATACTTCCTTGTTACTCACATGTGTGGCACCATGCATCCAAGCAGAGAAAGAAAGGCAAAAAAGTGAAAGGAAAGAAAAGAAGAAAGGAAGGAAAAACTAATGCGAGACGGATCATAGGCGAACACACACACACGGCTTAAGAGGCAATAAAAAAAAGGGTTATTTTGGATAAGTGGCAAATGCCGAAAGGAATGTCATTACAATGACAATGAGATTTGAGTGGGTAGGGAAGTGTTATCTAAACTATTGGTACGAGAAAGCATCTTACTATCAAAAAACAAAAGGCCACCGGCGAGCAATCATTGACCGATTTTCCTACTGGCCCACGCGAATGGAATTGTGTTATCAAGAAATGTTTGCCAAAGAAAGTCCACTTGAAAACGTTAGATTTTGATAATTGACAAAACACAGGTGTAGCTTGGAGCCTTAGCTGGATATGGAAAATTAAAATCCCACCCAAGCCGCCTCGCTGGTTAAGCTCTTTTCGACAAAACAGACTTTTGCCCTGCAATAATAAAATTTTGTTATCAGACACATGAACCGAAGGAAAATGAATGGAATAAGAAATGTTTTTATTTCTGCCTTGGAGACGTCACAATGGCTGAAAACTTGGAGAAAATTCCTTTCTGAGACCATGTCGGAAAACCAGCTGTCAGATGAATTAGCGATAAACTGCTTGACAAACGCCACGTGTTGAACAAAGAGTTGTCATATTATCCGTTCATGATAACTAAAATAAATTAATTAAATCGCCGTTAAGCAAGGTATTTTTTTCCAAAACAAAGCCGCGGGTTGTTCACGCCCGACTAAGACGTCATTGGTCAAGTGGTGATCACATGACGCACGAAGGAGGAGGAAAGATACCCGACCAAGACCTCATTGGCCGAGAGTGATCACGTGACGCACGAAGAAGACTGTCGACGCCCCCATCCAGAGTATAAGTATGAGAAACCGCTACGAAGAAGTGGAGAGGGCAGTTCACGCACCTCAGAAGCATGGTGAGAAAGTGGGAGTGAAAAAAAAAAAGTTACCAAAAATGGAAAAGAGTGGAAAATCCCTAACCAGAAATAAAAGAGGTGGATATGTATTTAGAATTATCGAGGAACTCCCCGACGCCAACAGACCCAACCCGGTTTTTGACGGCGTCAATAAAAACGAGGCCCCAACAGGCAGAAATCAGTTCAGTCCCGGACGGCAGAGATGAGTGTCCAGTAGTTCAGACCCTGGCGGGCAGAATACAGTTCGCGCCCCGACGACAGGGATGAGTGTCCAGTAGTTCGCGCTCCGACGGCAGGGATGAGTGTCCAGTAGTTCGCGCTCCGACGGCAGGGATGAGTGTCCAGTAGTTCGCGCTCCGACGGCAGGGATGAGTGTCCAGTAGTTCGCGCTCCGACGGCAGGGATGAGTGTCCAGTAGTTCAGTCCCGGACGGCAGAGATGAGTGCCAGTTCGTTCAGACCCTGGCGGGCAGAAGAGAAGTTAGTTCAGACCCTGGCGGGCGAGAGAAGTTTGTTCAGTTCCGGACGGCAGAGATGAGTGCCGAGTGTTCAAACCCTGGCGGGCAGAAGAGATAGTTCTGACCAAGATTCACCAAGATAGCTGACCAAGATTCACGCAAAATTTGGGACTCCTCTTCAACCAAGAACAATTATTTTGAAGAGCGACTTAGAACCAGACCACAGAAATAAGTTTTTTTCGACTTTCGTCCAAAGACACACCGAAACACAAATTTCTTAGAGAGCAAACAACTTGAAGCGTTAAAACTTGCCTAGCGGAAAACGACGTGTCACAATCCACAGAACGGGTCGGGAGATAGATGCAGTCCTATGTATCGAACAAACTACATAAAGTTTGTTACCTTTTTTTTTGATACTTTGAACTTTTTGAGTTTTCATTTTATTTTTTTTTTATGCATATTTGTGTTTATCACCCCCGTTGAACTCAATTTTGCATTACGGCCCCAACCCCTGTTTGATCTCGTCTGTCTAAGATCAATTCACAACGTGGGTAGGCAGACTGGAGATCAGTGTAGTTACCTTGGTAACCAGGCGTTGGAAGCGAGTTGGGAACGGAGAGGCTGATATCAAATCTAACCAGATTCCCACCCGAATCACCAAAAGGTTAGAACGTCACATTTGGGTGCTGCGACCGATACCAAGCCAGTTGGTCGTCACAGTACGAGACAACACGACTGACGCGATAGGCGAACGTCACGTTTGGAGCAGCGACACCCGGACGGAGCAGCGAGGAGCGAACAGCTGGCGCCGCGGCGAAGACGTCACAATTGGTGCTGTTTAGGGACGTCACAACTGGTGTCGTGAACGGGATAGGACCCTGGAACGGCCAAGTCACAACTGGCGCCGTGGTAGATCAGGATAGAACGTCACAGTTGGCGCTGCGACCGGGGGACGACGTCACACATGTTTCTGTCTATGGTATTCTTCCCAATACTTTGCAGAACCAACTTCAAGTCTCTTCTTCATCTTTGTGGAAACTGACTTGCATTCACTGCCGTATAGGTGATTAGATATTATATAGCAGTTCAGCACTTTTTCTTTATTTTAAGAAACATGTTTTCCCTATTGTAATACTTTGTTTTGTTTCTGGAAGGCATCAAAAATCAAAATCCTTCTCTCTTCTAGTTTTTAATTTCAGTTTCATTTCTCTTCCTTTTTTATTCTCTCTTTCTCTCTCTCTCTTTTCGTTGACTTTTTCTTTCCCTCAATTTCAGATCTCCTTTTTTTGAAAAATTTTTCAATTTTATTTTTTAAAAAAAAAAAAAATATCTACTCTTTTTTTCTTTCTCGTCGCTATTTACTCTTCATTTATCGACTTCATTCTCATTGTTTTCAAAATCCTTCTCTCTTCTGGTTTTTTTTTCAGCCTCATTTGTTTACCTGATTTTTTTTTACTTTCTCTTTCTTTCTCTCTCTTTTCGTTGACTTTCTCTTTCCCTCAATCTCAGATCTCCTTTACCCAAGTTGCTTTTTTTTTAAAAAAAAAAAATCTCTTTTTCTTTCTTGCCGCTATTTACTCTTCATTTACCGACCTCATTCTTGTCCTTTTCAAAATCCTTCTCTCTTCTGTTTTCTAGTTTCAGCCTCATTTCTTTTCCTTTTCTTTTTGACTACCTCTCTCTTTTCGTTGACTTTCTCTTTCCTTCAATCTCAGATCTCTGTCACCCGTTGCTTTAAAAAGCCAACTCTTCTCTTTTTCTTTCTTGCCGCTAATTACTCTTCATTTATCGACCTCATTCTTATCGTTTTTGAAATTCTTCTCTCTCCTTGTTTTTTTTTTCAGCCTCATTTCTTTTCCTGTTTTTTTTTTTTTTTTTTTACTCTTTTCTCTTTTCGTTGGCTTTCTCTTTCCTTCAGTCTCAGATCTCCTTTACTCAAGTTTCTTTTTTTTTTTTAAATCTCTTTTTCTTTCTTGCCGCTATTTAATCTTCATTTATCGACATCATTTTTATCGTTTTCAAAATCCTTCTCTCGCCTTGTTTTTTTTTTGTTTTGTTTCAGCCTCATTTCTTTTCCTGTTTTTTGACTTTCTCTTTTCCTCTCTCTTTTCGTTGGCTTTCTCTTTCCCTCAATCTCAGATCTCCGTCACCCGTTGCTTAAAAAACCCCCCAAAAACAACACTTCTCTTTTTCTTTCTTTACTCTTCATTTATCAACCTCACTCTTATCGTTTTCAAATTCCTCCTCTCTTCTAGTTTTTACTTTCAGCCTCATTCCCTTTCCTTCTCTTTCTGACTTTCTTTCTCTCTCTTTCTCTCTTGTCCCCCTCTCTTTTATAATTGTTCTATATTCCTTCATTTATTTTCTTTCTTCGGTTTTTAAAATCTTTTCATTGTTGCTCCCTCATGATATCCCATAATCCTTCTTCGTATCCCCCCCGCTACCTTCTTTCATATTCCCTTTTTTTTTTAAATTTTCACTAGTATGGCACTTTCTAAATGCCCTCCCCTCTTATATTTCCTTTACTTACACTCTCACTTTCCCCTTTTTACCTCTCATCTTCCGACCACTGCATTGGTCAACTGATGCCCTTAGATTCCAGCCTCACTCTGTGTTCAGGTCATTTCCTCTCTGAGTGTCTCGACTTACTTAACAAAGGTCTGGTCACTAATGACTCAACAAATGCCTATTTATCATCTTAGCCGCAACTGGCCACATTAATTTAGGACAATCGTACACACAAACTGGACGCCAATGACTGAAAACCACTTCAGCGCTAATGACAAACAACAAACCCAACATAATTTCCGGTGTCTTTAGCAAACGAAAGAAGCGGTCTGAAAAAAAAATATGGCGAATTTCGCTCTGGTCGTAGAGAAGATAACTAAACAACGAATCATGTGTAATATAGACACGTAAAAATTCAATGTTTTTTGTCTGCAATTTTTGAGACTGTTTGTACTTACTCTTTTACATTGATTCTTTTGGATGAATTTCCTTGACTATGTTGCCTTAATCACAAAGATTTGTTTACTGTATTGCCCGGCCTTTATGTTTGAATGTTAGACGAGATATCTTTGCTATTACGGTTACAATGGTTTCGCTTGATTAGTTTTTTTTAATAAATTAAATAGAACAAGGTGACAAATGCTGATTTTCTAGACAGGCACACCTTCACCAACAGATTAGCATAAAACTCTCTTCCTATCTCCATCTCCTATTTTTTATTCCATTCCACAATATAACAGATCTGGGGATGTTATATACCGTACCTATGAATACTAATGAGTATGTCCCAATCCTCATAAATATGTTGGACACTATGGGTACCTCGATGCGGTGTAATGGTTAGTAAGCCTGTCTCGCTAGAACAATTACAACTGAGTAGTGAGTTCGATTCTCACTGGGTGTCCCCTACTTTCGGCCTTGTGCTACATCTAAGTTACGCTTCGAAACTCACAATACGTTGGACACTGTTGTAAATGGGAGGTAATATGATGTCTAAGTAGTCCACCATTAGCAGTGGTTTACCTACTTCACGGTGCTGGCGAGTATTGTATTTTGCTGATGTTATAAAGATTACCATTTCATTTCTAACCACCGTTTTGGTTATTTCTCATTCAGTAACCCTTCCTAGGTGACAACAGAAACATTTCGTTGGTGGTGGGTGTGAGACTTATTCAACCTATACATTGAGGCGTTTCTGATAAAATTAACAATCCTACCTGTATTTACTTTAGGCAGTTACAATATTAACAACACATGCTGACGACACTGTTGACAGGGGATACAGAAAGGAACTCTCCCAGAGGTTAGTAAAAAAAGAAATGACTGAACATCATATGTAAGAAGACAGAATGCGCAATTTTCAGCAAAAGCAACGGTACAACATACAAATTGCAAATTGTAGATACCAAAATCAAAGAAGCACAACAATTTAAATATCTTGGAAGTTGTTATATACCGTATCTATGAACATTAATCGGTATGTCCCAATCCTTATAAATACATTGGATAGTATTGTAAGTGGGGGTAATATGCTGTCTAAATAGTCCACTACTAGCAGTGGTTTACCTACTTCACGCCGTTGGCGAGTATTTTATTTTGTTGATGTTATGAAGATTACCATTTAATTTCCAACCTCCGTTTTGGTTATTCTTCATTCAATAACTCTTTCTAGGTTACAACAGGGAAAAAGTCTACCTAAAGGGAACTTACTCCTTACTAATGGAATATGGGCGAAATGCGGATTTCAACTTCTTGTATGTCGCATGGTGGATCATAGCTGTGAAGATCTGAACTGGTGGAATTAAGTGATGTACAAGAAGTATAAGAAACGTTTCTGGGACACCTCTCTCTCTCATTCTCTCTATATATATATATATATATATATATGAGAGAGAGAGAGAATAAACAAAATGGAAAATGTTATTTGGTGCGATGGTTAGAAAGCTGGTCTTGCTAAAACTGTTACAACTGAATAGTGAGTTCGATCCTCACTGGGTTTTCACATTTTTCGGCCATGTGCCACATCTAAAATCGCTTAGAAAATCAGTATATATGTAGCAGGAGCACCGGATCAGATGTCGTGTTACCTCCTAATTTTCGAAACCGATACTTGAGGACGCTTTCTGGTCTATAAATACTCGGAGATATCTTTTCTCGACCACTTTTTTCTCTTTTTTTCTGCATACACGTCAACATGTAAATTTCTCGCGGAAAAACGCGTTCTCTTTTTGGGTCACGCATGAACAATACACACACACACGTACGCGCCTCTCACACATTTTTTAGGATTTTTCCTACACCAAACTAGACATACGCAAGCAATTCACTAGCGTAAATATTTTCTTCATTCACGTTCATTGTTCAGTAACACAACAATATTCTATTGTTTCTGTAATCCTTTATTGTTAATACATTATCATTTGTTTGCGCACATATATATTCGTTCTTGTTGTACCTTAAATTTTTTCGGTGGACTCATACTCTGAGTCCACCATGTTGGTTGTGGGCATTTCAGGAGACACGCGTGTTTATCTCTCAAAGCTTACACCGGCCTGCGACAACATATGGGTCAGCAACTTTCAAATCAAGGACGAATAGTAGACTTATAAATATGTAAGATAGATTCTGGAGAGAAAGGTTGTCTGGCACGAAATAGCGAACCAAGGAACGAACCTAGCAATTGATTCAATATAATCTTTCTGCTTCATGTCATAAATAATCTTTCGATTTCATGTCAAGACATGACTGGAGGAAAATCATGAACAGCTTTGTGATGATGAAATGTGTAGAGTAATTGGTCATGGTTAAATGTAATCGGCAGAAATTCCCAACAAGCAGAATTGACAAAATTTCCAATAGATAACAAAGAAAAAAAAAACAGGGCAAAAACAATACTAATGTTATACTGGAACACACCTATTCTATTGTTAATAGACTCTCCCACCTATAATAAGTAGGAGTAGTAGCAGTCGCTGAGTCGGCAGTCAGTCAGTCGATGTCGGACGTTAGTCGGATATTAAAGCATCAGCCACCACAACTAGATTACTGCGTCATTACCTATTATATCAAGTTCCTAACGTTTTGTCCGTCGAACCTATTTTAGGACCGACTTAGTACAAATACAAGCCTCCACTGTGAAACCACTACATGACAACTCAGCAAACAGTATATGACCAAACAAAAGTAGGCAAAGCAACAGTAATAAGGCAAAATGTTCATAAACTAAGAATGATGATAACACAAAAAAGGCGTCCTGGGTATAACGATAAACTACATCCAGCAGCAACGTCTCTGATCGGGAGGATTTGAGGAGCGTGAAACTACCCGCTAATTAGTTGTTCCCATGTCCACTCTGACCCGGGGTGGTAGCACCTGTTAGGATCCCAACTATGGATAAATAGTGAACCCCCAAAATAGGTTCAAGACAGTATGAAAGTATAAAATACATTTTTATCGTAAAAATACCAGCAATACATTTTCATAGTAAAAGAATTACCAGCTATATATATATATATATATATATATATATATATATAAACCTAGTGAGCCAGACAAACCTACCCAGGTTTCACCTAAGCGGATCGTCAGGGAAAGCCGGCTAAAGAGGCAAAAGAGAAACCCATATATATATATATATATATATATATATATATATATTACAAGCAATATATTTTAAAAAAAAATTACCAGCAATACATAATAATAATAATAATAATACCATAGATACATTTTTTGAAAAAAAAAAAAGAAAAGAAAATTTTTCGAGCAATACATTTTTTGAAAAAAAATATTACGAGCAATACATTAAAATTAAATTTCGGCATTAAATGACTCATAAAGTGTTGATATGCCGATAAACAAACAATTAAACAGCACACAAAAGAGATACAGACAAGTGATTATAGTGTACTGACTTCAAGACAAGAACAAAAATATACGGTGTTTACTCATTCCCCCACAAGAATGAGATGTGACACAAGGTCGGATTAATGTGGGGACCCGAGCGCGTGCACCCGGATAGAGTAAAAAATTCACTTCAACCCCCGCAACCGTCGGTTGCGCTGGCCTTGGTGCCAGCTCCGATCCCTCCCTCTTGTGCAATGGGAGGGCGCGGCCTCGGGCAGCTGTTCCCCAGAGCTGGGCACCTCTTCAGTATAATTTTCCTCAGTTGCCGCTCTGTCCTTTGACAGAGAAGCCCCTGGGCGCACTCTGTCTAAGGAGAGAGACGCAACTGAGAGATGATAAATAATGCGAAATCCCCCCCCCCAAAATATGCAGGATGAGACCGAGAAGTGTTCCGTTTTTATTGGATAGGAAGAAATCCCAGCATGCATCTGTAGGATTTGTCTATAAATTTGGGGGAAGGGGGCATTTTTGCAGTCATTTGTAAAGGGATTGGAACGAACAAAATATTACTAGCTCCGTATTGGAGCTGTTGAATACGCCAAAC